ATGAGGGGTTTGGGGTGCAGGCTGCCCTGGGGCTATGGCAGGGAGAGAGGACTCCCCACAGTAGCACCTGGGCTGGGGGGGAGAGGCGCCTCTCTCCCCCAGCTGCAGTCAGGTATGGGGTTGGGCTGGTGCCAGCGGGGAGAGGCACCTCTCCCTGCCGGGGCTAGGGGAGAGGCATCTCTCCCCGCTGCAGCCCCGAGGGCCTGCGCAGTGCTTAATAGGCTGCTGCGTGGCTGCACAGCTTAAAGGAAACTGAGCAATAGCTAAAAGGATTCAGTGTTGGTAAATGGAGTGAATGTATATAAGGGGGAAAAGTGATTTTTGGTTTACCATTAAATGTCACAACAACTTGAGGAAATGCAGTACATGTCGGAAAACAGTGCGCAGCATTGGAGAGCAAAGAATTTCTGACATTACATTCATCATCCTATCCTAAGCTTTAGAACAAGGATTTGAATGGACAGGAAACACATGGAAATCCCATCATCCAGTGGTAATAATGTAGTGGCATTTTTGTTTAATGAAAGTTCCCAGGAATTTCCATTGTTTTTTCAAGCTGGAATTTATTTCTATGCTATATAGGTTCTTATACCAAAGTATCTGAGCACCTAATCTATGTTCTCAGAACTGAGTTTCTTCCCTCAGTGCCCTGATTCCATACCTAAAAGGATTGACCATTGAGAATATCTGTCTATTTCCAGGTAGCTGTCCCTGAGACCTGTGGCTTTTCCAGGATTTTTGACAGCCCCTGGGAATGCTGTGCCAGAAAGTAGGCAGAACGTGTTTGTTATTGAGAAATGGGAAGAGTGAGGGATGACACTCTCCTGCACTCCTAACAGGACCGACTGCTTGCCAGGTCCTGATCCCAACCACAGAGAGAGGATGGGCCAGTGATCAGAGTGCTAGCATGGGACTTAGGAAAGCCCGGTTTTGTTCCCTGCTCTGCCACACACTGAAAAATGGGGATAATGATTCCTTATCTCACAGGATAGATGTTGGTAGAGGGAGGCAGAGGTCAATGACACCATGCAGTGTTCGGAGGCAGCGGTCTCTGGAAATTGGAGCTATGAAGTTGGAATAGATTGTCTTATGGAAGTGCGTCAGCAGCTCTATAACAAGGTTGCATTTAGTTTTCCACTTAAAGTAGGGTGTAAATGGGAGGTTTTCTGAGGTATGGCAGTTAGGCGCCTAACTCCCATGGACTTTTAATGGCAGCTTTGCATCTAGTTACCAGTTGTGCCTTTGAAAATGTCCCCCTAAATCCCTTAACTAAGCATGTTCATTCACAGAAATTAATCTTAAATACGGACTACTGCAAAGAGGACAACCTTTAATTTCCCAGTAAAGGTAGTAAAAAAAAAAACAACACCTAAAGTTTCTTAGAAGATTTTCCCATTTGGGATCAAAATACACAATTTTGATGACAGTTTACAATGAAATTAAAAACTTAAACTTCACCCGGCTCTCTTTTCTAGCTAGTTTTCACACTTTTCTGAGCCTTCTTTTCTGAATTCTGTAAAATTTAAGGCTGGACTTTTTAAAGCAGAGTAAGGTGGCCAAGTCCCACTGAACATCAGTGATATTTCGGTGCATAACTTTCAGATTCTTGAAAACTCCAACCTGAAGTTTTTCCTTTTTTGAAATTTTCATAAAAGTTCTCAGTTTTATGGGTCCTTATGGCAAAAATCCCCAAAGCCACACATTTAAACTTCACACAGGTCTTTATTTTACACTAATGCCCCCTTTTTTTTAAATAAAAAGAATTAACTAGCTTCCTTGCCATTTTGAAACTGTTTTATTTTTCATGGTGGGAATCTACAGATGGAGCAGGCTGGGGAAGTAATCCTTCCTGATCCTTGTGATGCCAAATCATAAGATTTTATTGTTTCTGTTGTAGAGTATAATTACACAAGTTATTCACCCCTTTTAAAAATCCACCTAGAGTACTTGACATTAGACTTCCTGTGAATGCCACAGACTAACGTGCTGCGTGAAATAACATTTCTTTTTTGTTTTAAAGTGTCTGCCACTGAATTTCATCAAATGACCCCACTTTGTGTGACCATGAGACGGAGGCCAAAACTGGAATAGTATATGCAGGAGAGACTGGTGTGGAGTAGATTGCAGGAACTTTGGGAGGGCTGGGAAGTGGAATAGTATAGAGTGCTGTGGAGCTAGAATAAGAGACATATGACCAGGTTTTCCCCTTCACAGCTTACTGTGTGCAACTCACTGATTCACATGGTCTCCAGTGGATAGCTGCTATTTTTCACAGAGTCTAACACAGAAGTGCTTTAGTCCTCCATCCAAGACACAGGTCTGCCCCATTTCTTCCAGGGTGGTAGAGTCTCAAAAATCAGGAAAAACCAGCTAGCAAGCTGCCACACTCACTCAGCTATAACCACGCTTCTCTAGCATCAGGAAAAGCAAAGCTCTAGTCATCTCTAAACTAAGCTAGGTCTCCTCCTTTTAACTACTTCCACACCTGACATCTGGGGCCAATTGGATCCACAGGCTCTCATTAACCTTCTCCACGGTCCATTCTTAGCAGAGCAGTGTGGAGCAAGCTTATGCAATATTTGCCACATTATGGGTGGCGTTAGCCAGAGCTAGTAATCTCTTATGTTACTGCTAAGTTCCTCCACCAAAGAAAATACAGTAACAACATTTAATGGAACTGTGACACCATCAGACAAAAGCCAGGAAATTCAATGCTGAAGGTGGCAGCACTGTTGGCTTATGTCTCTGTCGCAAACCATCACATCACAGAAAAATATGTTTATTTGCACTTAATTCATTTGACAAATGTGACAACTTCACAAATGTGCCATTAGGTATCTGAGAGTGCTTTCCAGCTGCCTGATTTTTACTCCTGGGGGAATTCTGCACCAATGTGCATGTGCAGAATTCATGTCCCCTGCAGATTTTTTTTCTCCACAGAAAATACATTCTGTTGGAGAGGTGCTGCAGTTACACCTTTTTCCCACCAGGGGCTACTGTGGCACCAGAACAGAGAGTAGCCAGCTCACTGGCAGAAGCAGCCAGCAGTGTTCCACAGAGAGGCATGCCTGCAGGGCCAGGTTAGGAGGCACGGGATATGGGTGGGAGGGAACAGACAGACCAGGGTACATAGGGCTGCTGGGAGGTCACATAGACTGGGGTTCAGAAGGGCTAGTGGGGGGGAAAGACTTGGGCAGGAGCTGAATGGGAATGGGGGTGCAGGGCCACATGGGGCTGGGGGAAGATGTGCCTGACTGAATGGGAAAGGCTAGGGGTCAGCCAGGGTCTGCATGGGGGAGGCTCCCCAACTCCCTAACAATCCCCTGCCCCCCAAAATCTCTGTTCCATACTTCTCCTACCCACACCCAACAAGCTTCCAGGATCACTCCCAGGCTGCTTCCAGCAATTACTTCCCTCTCCTGCAGCTCCTCTGTTACCCCTGATTCCCCCAAGCCTTTGCACTGCTTCTGAGGGGTGCGGGAAATACGCTTCTGTATTATAGTTTAAATTAATTATTACTCAAAGTTCTGTATTAATATGCCTAGTAAGAAATGTTTGTCAAAACAACATTTCCTGAATCTTTTTTGTCTGTATTGTTATAGGCATACTTGATGACAGGCATTTTTAAATAAATTACCAAAATAATTGAAACTGGCATGATTTTCTTGTCCTGTGGCACCTTTAAGACTAACAGATGTATTGGAGCATAAGCTTTCGTGGTGAATATCCACTTCGTCAGACGCATGTAATGGAAATTTCCAGAGGCAGGTATAAATATGCAGGCAAGAATCAGTCTGGAACTAACACGGCTACCCTTCTGATACATGATTTTCTTGGGTTATTTTGACAAATAAAATATGCAGAATTTTGCAAAATTTTAAAATATTGTGCGCAGAATTCCCCCAGGAATAGATTTTGCATTCAGACTCCTATTTTTGATAGTTTGCTTCTGCTCTGTTATTTCTTTATTTAATTAATTCTCTTTTTCCATATAACTTCTTCCCTTTCATCTCAGCTAGTAAGCTTGTCTCCCTTTGGGTCTGTGCAAAGTTAAGGGAACCAACAACAAAAGGACTGCTAGGAAGAGGAAACAGCCAGAATGGTAAAACATCTGGAATTACTTCATTCCATTAGTTCATTCACCCTCCCTACCAGAGGGCTTCGAATATTAATAATACTTAGCATTTATATTGCACATTACATAGTCATAGCACTGGACAGTAGAACCTCAACCACACAGCTGATTTGGAACCTATGCAATCAGGCAGCAGCAGAGACCACACCAAAAAAAAAAAAAACCACCCTACACCAAATACAGTACAGTACTACGTACTTGACTAAAAAAAGTCAAGTTTAAAAAATTGACAAGGTAAGGAAACTACTTCTGTGCTTGTTTCATTTAAATTAAGATAGTTAAAAGCAGCATTTTTCTTCTGCATAGTAAAGTTTCAAAGCCATTTTAAGTCAGAGTTCAGTTGTAAACTTTTTAAAGAACAACCATAACATTGCGTTAGGAATATTTCAGAGTTACAGACAACCTCCATTCTCAAGGTACAGACATTACCTACAAGTCTTTGACTGTAATTTACCTTGCCCTAGCATAGAGACATGCATTCCTCACATCCATAACCTTCAGATATAAATTGATTGGTGTGTGGTGCTATGTTTTACACACACACACACCCGCTTCAAAGCATAATCTCTGTTTTAGATTTTGCAGAACTCCGAACTTTCAGCCTTATTTAGTGCAGGGTTGGGGATGTTTATGACACTATGGGTCTCGTCAGTAGGAATATCAGACTGTGTGCTTGGGAGTGGAGGTGTTTGCTCGGTGGAGAAACACCATATCTACCACAACGGGCTTCTGCACTGTGTATTTTCGGAAAGCAATCCTCACTACTCCACCATAGGGGAGTCCCACTCTGAGCCCAGGGTCACCTCTCCAGAGGCGGGGCTAGAGGGAGGGGAAAGAGGGCCGGGCGTGCAAGACCAGAAAGGATAGGATTGCTCAGGCATCCATCAAATCCCTAAACTAGTGAGACAGCAGCAGGGAGGATGGGACCCGGAAGAGAAGTTGCCGCTGGGGTGAGTTACTTCCCCGTCCGCCCCTGGGAGGAGAGAGGCAGCTCGGTTACACCATGTTTCAGTTTCTGGTAAGTGTCTGTAAAGCCCCTCCACGTGGAGCCTGTCCCGGCTCTGCGTTGGGAGGGAGGAAGGGATTGCTGCTGGGGGACCCGCTCCCCTTCTCTCCCCCCCGCCCCCACGCAGGAGAAAGGCGTCTCTGACCCTGGAGAGAGAAGCTGCTGCTACATCCCCCCATCCCCCTTCCCAGCTCTATTCATCCAGCGATGGATACATTGGGCCCTGAAGCTAGTTACATGCTTTCAGCACCTCTGCGTGTGAGAGAGAGAGAGAGACTGGAAAGCCCCCTCCCGACTTGATACTGTGGTTTTCTGAAGGGATCCCAGATCTGGGGCACTGATGAACCTGGGATCTTGTTTTGCAACTGCTGCCCATTTAAGGGTCGTCTGGACGAGGATGAAAGGCGCTTAAGGGTGAACTAACACGTTTTAAGCAACTTGAGTGCCGGTTGTATTTTGTTAACGTGCTAGCTGGGCAAGATGAAGCCGAGGCTACACCAGGGCCTGCTAACGTGGTAAAATACAACTAGCCCTGACATGCTCTAGGGTGGTGGTTGTATTTTCTAAAGTTGTTCATTAAAACGTTAACTGTGTGGTGGGTGTTTTTTTTTTTTTTTTTAAACACCTTTACCATAGTCTAGATATGCCCTTCATGATGCACCAGCTTTCAAGCCATGGAGATTGAATTGCTCAAGAACTTGAGCCTTAGGGTTATGATTTTGGATATGTCCACACTGGATAGTAAATTCAAGTTATCTGCACTCAAGTTATGCCTCCTGAGCGAGAGTAGCCAAATGGCAGTATAACCCTTAAGTTGCTGTGTCCACACCAGTGCTGCACTCATTTGTCTGTGGTGCTAACCTGTCTGGTTGTACATCCCAGGGTACTTAACTCTGCATTAAGCTGAGTTGAGCCTGTCTAGTTTCCTGCCAATTCATCCATCTGACTCTCAGCAGCTTGTCAGGTGGACTGCCTTAGAGCTGGATATGCCAGTACTTTCAGGGACCCTAGCTCCATTCCTTGACATCCCTTACATATACCACACTGTACCAAGAGGGGTTTTTCCTCATTAAAAGTTATGCACACATGCAAAAAGAAGAATTATTTTAGGGCCAGATTGTGATGCCCTTTCACCCCAAGTAGTTCCTTTGAAATCAGTAGATCTAAGACCTTTATTCACACTGAATAGTATATCACAATCTAGCAATTAATTATATGGCTAACACTTTATAACACACACAAGTGACTTAGCCTGAAAGTCCCATTTGCAAAAGTGACTTGCTGCATGTCTAACTGCAGTACAGAGGCACAGCTACAGTGCTGTAATGCCATAATGTGGATGCTTCGTATTTGTCCATTGATATAGTGTTAATCTGCCTCTCCCATAGCTAGGTCTATGGAAGAATTTTTCTATCAACGTATCTGCGTATACAGTGAGGGGTTAGGTCAATCTACCTACATTACACAAGGTGTGGAATTTTTCACAGCCCTGCAAGTAGGTCAGTGGCTCTCAAACTTTTGTACTGGTGACCCCTTTCACATAGCAAGTCTCTGCGTGCGACCCCCCCCTTATAAATTAAAAACACTTTTTATATATTTAACACCATTATAAATGCTGGAGGCAAAGCGGGATTTGCGGTGAAGGTTGACAGCTTGCGACCCCCCCATGTAATAACCTCGTGGCCCCCTGAGGGGTCCCGACCCCCAGTTTGAGAACCCCTTAACTAGGTCAGTCTACTTTGGAACCTAAGGGCTAGTCTACACTGAAAAGTTACATTGGCATAACTACATTTCTCAAAGGTGTGAAAAATCCACACCCCTGAGATATGTAGGTAAGCCGACTTAACCCTGGTGTAGACAGCACTAGGGCTACAAAAGAATTCTTCCATTGACCTAGCTACCACCTCCCGGGGAGGTGGATTACCTACAGTGATGGAAGAACCCCTCCAATTGCTGTAGTAAGTGTCCACACTGAAGTGCTACATCAACGCTGCTGCAGGAGTGCAACTGCCCTGCTATAGCATTTTAAGTGTAGACATAGCCTAAGTCTCATTGAAAATCTATCAAACTAAGTCTACACTAGGAAATCAGGTTGGTATAACTGTCACTTGGGTATGAATCGATGGCTCCTTCCCTTATGGGTGGGAGGCCTATAGCAATGGGTGGGCCCATCCCTGCCCATCCCCAGTGCCTCAGCCATCCCCGCCCATCCCCAGTGTCTCAGTAGGCCAGGGGTATGAAAAATCCATACACCTGACCAGTTAAACTGATGTAACCCCCGGTATAGATAGCACTAGGTGGATGGGAGAATTCTCCCATCCACCATCTACCTCTTGGGGAGATGGGGGACCTGCACCAACAGGAGAACCCCTCCCATTAGCATAGAGGCTTATGTGTAGACATACTTTTCGGCACTTTAAAAAAAAATTTACTCTGGTCTAGTTTTCCCTCTTGCAAGATCAGGCTGTGCTCGTTGTGTATCACAAAGTAATGAGGGACTTTAAGTTCACACACTAGACAGAATATAAAAGCTTTTCCCATCCATTTATTAGTGGAATAACATAAATGCTATCGTGAATGAAATGAACCAGCTAAGTGAATTTTAAACAGACCCCTGGATTTCCCCCCTCTCCCTCCAGTATTGCGTTCATAGAGTAAAACATAAAAACAAAAAGGGCCCTACGTTTTAAGAGTGACTCACTGTGTGACCTTGGACAAGTTACATCTTCTGTGTAACACAACTGTGGACTTTGCAGTCGAGGGATATGATTAGACAAAGCAGAAGCTGCATTTAAGCCTTTTGTGAAAGAGTAAACTCAATTAAAGTAATGGAAAAAGGTTTCAATTCTTCTCCTACAGTTGTAGCTATAATATGACAGTGATGGTTTATCAGTTGATGTCCCATCTAAAATATTTGCATTCCAAAGAAATATATAAATTTTTAGGCCATGCCTGTTAAGACCCTGCAAATGTACTCTGAATATGTAGCATACCATGTGTGTAAATAACTGGGGGAATTAGCCACCCCCATGTTTCTTCCCCCAAAAAAGCAGGAAAGAATGAGTTTGGAACAGAAGCTCATTTATCTCACTTTATTAAAAGTGGACAAATTTAGACAAGGTACAAAATGACTCAAAGTGATATTCAGCAACTATTATTTAACTCTAGCCCCCTCAAATAAAAAAAAGTTGTCTACACCCCCATCATACATTGAATATACTGTGGCCTTACTAATTTTGGTTACATTCTCTTTTGGTTCACCATCTATATAGCTCCAATATACAGCTTCCTTTATTCTTAGCCACTTTTTTCTTCAAATCACTCCAGATGTATTCTGTTGGATGCCAGTCAGGTGACTGTACAGGTGAAAGCGCCCAATGCTTTAACGCTTTCTCTAAGACAGTGTTTCCCAAACTTGGGACGCCGCTTGTGCAGGGAAAGCTTCTGGCGAGCTGGGCCGGTTTGTGTTCCTGTCGTGTCTGCAGGTCTGGCCGATCGCGACTCCCACTGGCTGCGGTTCGCTGCTCCAGGCCAATGGGAGCTGCTGGAAGCGGCACGGGCCAAGGGACGTACTGGCCGCCACTTCCCGCAGCTCCCATTGGCTTGGAGCAGCGAACGGCGGCCAGTGGGAGCCGCGATCAGCCGGACCTGCGGACATGGCAGGTAAACAAACTGGCCTGGCCCGCCAGGGGCTTTCCCTAAACAAGCGGCGTCCCAAGTTTGGGAAACACTGCTCTAAGAAAATGTATGCATGGTTGATGTGTATTTTAATTCAGCGGTTTTCAACCTTTTTTTCATTGTGGACTCTTAAAAATGTTCGAATGGAGGTGCAGATCCCTTTGGAAATCTTAAACATACTCTGTGGTCTCCCATTGAAAACCACTGCTTTAATTCATTGTCCTTTTTGAAAAACAGGTACTTTTGCTCCCTATAGGAAGACTCAGTTCTAATATCTTTTCATATATTGCACTCGCTTTTATGCTAATAACAAAACACAGGTTACCAATACTTTCATAAGACACAGCCCATGCAAGTGAAATAATGTTCTTTTTGGACTGCTGCTGCTTTTGTATAGTGCCAATGCGTCTTAAAAAGAGTTGCACATGGGGCTGACACCTCCAGTGCATTCATTGGCTCACCGCTACAGTAAAACAAATACAACTCTTGTATCAGAGTGATATATGTTAAATTGTGTGATCAAATACAAATTTTGTTCCAAAAAAATTCAGCTGTCTCAAAGCTGTTTTAAGCATATTTTAATCATATTGCCCCTCCGGTCTGGTATGGGTATTGTTGTTGTGTTCTGTCTTTTGTTTCCCCCCCACACTCACACTCTCCATTCAAGTTTTCATCTTGGTAAGTCTCCCACTTTGATTTGACAATGCACTGCCTGTTCTGTTGCATTGGCTGCAGTTCATTTAAAGCTTCTGGCTTATTTTTCCCTGAGCCCAGCCCTGCTCTGACCTTCTGCAAATATGATAAGCTGTTCCTGAGGTCAGAGTTAAACTCTTTGCCCACAGTCAAATGATACTTTTCCCCCTCATTCCCAGTCCTAAGGTATTTGTGTGTTTGCCTCATTGACTAGCTGAACATTCTTTAAACTTTTAGTCTTTTTTCTTTTCCTACATGTGTCTGAAAACTCTGGCAGATGCTAAAGCCAGATGCCCAACTATATGATTTATTTACAATTCTAATTAAATCCTTAATTGATGCTAATGCCTTTAATACCTGGCACTTATTAAAAGTAAATAACACAGAGAAAACAACAGGGTGCATGTCAGTAACAAAGCACAGCAGCATTTCTCATTTCTCATTATAGGTGCTGCTGACCTAATTTGGAGATATTGTGGATTTTTAGCTACTGGTATGTTCAGCCTTGGTGCCAATAAGTCCCAGTAATACATTGCATATTTATTAGAAAATCAGGACTTTGGGGTCTCTTTAATTTTTTTTTTTTTTTAAGTTAGCTGGCTATTTCAAATTCCAGTCTCTGTTGATAATGCCAGCAGAGAGCCTCTTCTAAATCACTTTAGCTCTTGGGTGTTTATTAAAAAATAAGCCTCCCTATCCTACCCCTAGTCCAACACAAGATTTATAAAAAACTGTAAATGCATGTGCATTTCTTCAGAATGGACTCATTTGTATCTGTTTGTTCCAGTGAAAACAGTGGGTAATAAGACTAATACTCTCAGCAGATTTTGGGGTCATAATGTTTCTGAACTCAACTGCTACTTGAAGTCCTTGTGTTGCAAATGTCTGATTAAAAATCAGTTTTAATTAAGACTTTCTGATTAGTGCCTGAAAGCTGGTGAAGGGAAAAGAGGAAGGGCATATTAATTCTGGGTTCCCTCCTCTCCTTTCCTGTGCATGGAAAGGGTGTCTGTCTCTCCTTCACCCTAGCTGGAGCTGCAGCAGGGAGATAAAGGGATAATCTTACAAACTTTATATCTTTTGCCTTTCAGAGTTAAGTAATTGCTTGTTTTACATTTAACGTGTATCTTAGCGTGTTGGGTGACTGTTGGAAGCCCCTCATTAGTCCTTACTGTCCTTAATTGGCATGTACCCTTTAATTGGCAGCATTTGTAGTTGTCAAAAGTGATGAAGATTAAACAGTGAGACTCCCCCTCTTCATGAAGTGGCATCTCTTAAACCCTGTCTAACTGATGAAATAGCACATCAGTCTCGACTGGTCTTGCATGGAGTGTGTGGAGCTCTGACTTCAACTAATGGGATACAAGTTGTTTATGTTCTTGGGTTTGACATAGGTGTTAAGATATTTGCAATACAAAATAAGACATTGCATGGTATAGTATTGGTCCCAGCTTTGGACATATTTTAGGCTAAGAGCAGGAGAATGAAGGTGTTTTTGTCCTTTCTAGGAAGAAAAAAAATCAAGAGACCTTTCTTAGTAAAACTATTTTATAAGGGATAGACTGAAAGGTTCGTGCCAGTGACTAGTAATATAAGCCAATCTTTGCAAAGAGTCCTGAAATTCTCAGCTGAGAGTCTGCTTGCCTTTTGGGTGAATTCATGGACACTGCCAAGATATAGGAAAGGCCCTTCTGCTGGATTGACTTTCAGCATTAAAAGGAATCTTAAATCCTGCTTATCTCAGTGCAGCATGCATTAATAATATCCCATGCAAAAAACATCATTAATTTACAGTTACGTTTGCGATAATAAAATACAGCTTTTATACCAAACACACAAAAAGAACACTACATTTTTATACAAAAGCCAAGAAGCCCTAAGCTCTAAAAATGGAGTAAACAAATAATTTAAATAAATGTTCCATTTCTCTTACAGTTCAGACATTTCGTTAATGATGGCATCAGCATGTGAAAATGTGCAACCAGTTCTATTAATGGCCATAGCTTTCTGACAAGAACATGTTTTGGGTTTTTTTGTTTTTTTTTACCAGTGACTAGTGCTGTGTTTCTGCTATTGGAAGAGTGAGTTATAGTCTGTTCTACTTTGTGCAGTGAATACAATTTCTAGCTAGGTTTTGAGTTCAAAATCATTACTGTTGATGATGATTAAAAAAAAATAGCACACAGATTTTCAGAGATGAGGCCAAATTTGCAGTATTGATAGTCAGAAAAATCTTATTAGCATTTGTACATCAAGCAAGCTTCATCTGAAATTTAATGATAAGGGCCAGAGTTTTACTTGGAGTTGCTGGATGCTAAGCGCTTTGGAAAATCTGGATGTATATTTCTGAGGAAACAAAAGGTATTTTTTTTTTTCCTCTCCGGTGTGATTGAGACCTGAGTTTCTCCTCAGCCTGCGAGTGAAAGGAGCTATGCACTCCATTTCCCTCTTAGTCTTCCTTTAAAACTCATGGACTGAAGTGACCATTTCTTTAGCACCCAGCAACTCTCATCCCAAGCCTGGGACCTAAATTTACATTCTGTACAAAGTAGCATAACTAGGCCAGCCCAGGAATCTACTGATGCACTGTTTCCTTACAATCTCCATAGCCCATATATTTTATACCCACTTCATTTGCCTGTGTCATGTGATTTCCCCACCCCACCCCCATTTCCCTCCCCCCGCACCTATTAGTCTTAGTATTTGTATTGTGGTAGCTCCTGTGAGCCTCAGTCATAGAGCAGGACCCTCCTTGTGCTAAGAGATGTACAAGTATTGAACAAAAAGACTTTTCCTGTGCCATTATATTTAATGGACTTACCCATTACCATATAAATCATAGTATGCAAGGAACTTTACAGAACAAAAGACCAATCTCTGCACCAAAGATTTCTTGGAATTGTAAGCGAACAATGATCAAGAGAAGTCTCATTCTGGTGGTGGTGTTTTTATGGGAGTTGGGGTATAAATAGGTACATTGTTGAAGGAAGAGAAAGCTTCGGGGAGAGTAGTAAAAAACAACTGAGTAGAGCTGGTTTAAATTTTTTGCATGAAAAAACTTTACTGAAATATTATTTTAAATTTCCTGTGGGGGGGGGGGGGGGTGTTGCAAATTTTTCTGGGTTTTTAACCAATGTTTTTACCAAAATCTCTTTTTGAAATAATTAGATTTTTTTCCGCCACCCAAACCACCTGCATTCTCTTAATGAAAACAAGATTTCAGAAAATGATTTGGGAAAAAAACTCCATTTTGAAGCCTGTGAAATGGAAACCATTTAAAAAATGTTCATGATTTCCCCACCACCACCATTTTTTCAACCTCCTCTACTGCCAAGTGTTCATACATTCTGTGCAAGTGAGGGGGAAATGTTAAAATCCTTTTCATTTATTATCTGTCTTTTCTTTCTTTTCCTCTTAAGCTTGGTTTTGCTCTCGGCAATGTGGTTGGGATGTATCTGGCTCAGAATTATGATGTAAGTATTATTATTTATTAAAGTAGTAGTAGTATTTTGCAGGAGTGGCCCTACCTGTTTTACTGGCCAGGATGGAAAATACTTTGACTGCCCCTTCCCCAAGCAGCTGAGCTCAAACAAATAAACAAACAAAAAAAGCTGGCCAATCAGAGGAGAGGAGAAGAAAAAAAGCTGGCCAATAAGCAGAGCAAAAATGACCAGCCAATCAGAATAAAGCAAAAAACAAAACCACATCCACGTGGCACAATGGTATGTCACCCCATGGAAGTGGGCAACCAGCTTGCCCACACCTAGAACTGGCCCTAATTTATTTGTATTACAGTAATGCTTGGAGGTCCCAGCTGAGATCAGGGCCCCATTATGCAAGTGTTGCACAAACACATATTAAGATACAGTCTCTGTCCCGAAGAGGAGCTTATAGTCTAAACAGACAAAGCAGGGGAAAACGGGGGCCCAGAAAAGTGAAAAGACCTGCCCAAGATCACACAGCTGGTCAGTGGTAGAGCAAGGATTAGAATCAGCTCTCCTAATTCCTAGTTTAGTGCCCTGTCCTGTAGGATACACTAGCTGCCACCCAGTTCTATTTGTTTACGTATGAAAGTTTTATAGCGATTTGTATTTCTCTCTCCTATGGATGATGAAAGTGGAATTGTCAGGAGTGTTTGGGAGGGCTCAACCTATTGAGTTCTGCTTGGAATTTTATGTAGACCTGAACTCTTCCTTATCTCCTTGGATTGAGGTTTTCTGAATATGAATTAAGGGGAGATTTTGTCTTCCAAGAATTTGGAGCAGAAGCCTTGGGGCTGAGCCTCCAAACTTCGGTAGTATCAGTGCAGGTTTGAGGATTTAGTAGATTTAAAATTAAAAACCTACTATCCAATTAGAAATCATATATTTAAAACATTCCTTACCTGTGCTACTAATGCTACCTCAAAATTAAAAGAATTGAAGAGTGAGCTCCACAAAGATATTTAGGTTCCTAATCCCCAGACTTAGGCACCTAAGTCCCGGTATTGGCTCCATTACGATGCACAAAACTCCCTCTGAACTCTGTAGACACCTCTGAACATGTTTCTGCCTCTGAACATGTTCGCTGGCGAGTCCTAGGTGTACAGGCACCTATCTCTTGCCTAAGCCCCAGAGTGATTCACAAATCAGAGCACATCTAACTCACCTGAGGGGCCAGATCTGGTAGCAGTGCTCAGAGGCTGCCTACCAGATTGGGTCCCATTCAAAATTCAGTTGAAGGAGGAGTGATTAGAGCTCTCAGTTGGGATGTGGGAGACCCAGGTTTGTTTTCCCCATCTGCCAAAGGGGGGGAAGGATTTTAACAGAGGTCTCTCACCTCTCAGGAGAGTGCCCTAATCACTGGTTTATGGGATCTTCTGATGTGGGGCTACCTCCATCTCTCCTGTTCCACTCTGGCTAATTACATAAGCAGTCATTTTTTATTATTATTCTTTATCCACCACAAACACTTCCTCTGACCATTTTAGGTACCTGCCTTACTCCACACAACTCATTCCCTCAAGAAACAGGTTAGGCATCTAAGACAACTGACTTCAGGCAGTGGGTTTCCATTCCTGGATTGCTAAGTAGAAATTGCCTCCCTGCAGCCTGGTCTTAGGTGCTTATCTCTGAGAAGGGTCGGGATTAGCACATGCCCCCACTCCTTGTGAGCATCTCCCATTGGCTGGCTTAGGTGACTCCCTACCTGGTGTGCTGTTCCTATTGTTTGTTTTTAAATCAGGTATATCTACATATGTTAAATTTCCCTATCTCATAGAACTGGAAGGGACCCCAAAAGGTCATTGAGTCCAGCTCCCTCCTTCACTAGCAGGACCAAGTACTGATTTTTGCCCCATATCCCTAAATGGCCCCCTCAAGGATTGAGCTCACAACCCTGGGTTTAGCAGGCCAATGCTTGAACCACTGAGCTCTCTCTCCCCGCATTAATTTTCTTAAGCTAGGTTTTGTTAAAGCTTGTTTTTACAAAACCTATACCATAGTTTAGACCTAAATTCACCTGAGTGTATGTTGCATATATAATTAATGAAAGCATGAAGTATACTCATTTTTGTACAGTACAACTGAAGTGTCACCACAAGAGGGCTACTTCTGCTTTTAATTCAGAGGAAGTTCTCCCCTGGTGATGTAAAACTAATTTGCCAGCATGAACCAAGTATTTGATTGTTACAGTATCTAAGATGATTTCCACATGGTTAATCATAAAAGCCCCAATTATACAAACAGAGTGATTAAATTAAAAGTTAGTGTTTTTTCTCTGCAAGAGTGTGTTTGGCATGTGTATAAAACTTCTTTAGACAGGGAGCTCTTTTAGGAATAGGCCCAAGAGTAAATTAAACAAGGATTTTTTTTTTTAAATACTATCATCCCTGCAGATGCTGCTAGGGAATGTAAGGTTAATTCAGTGTGTAACTTTTCATAACGAAATTCAAAAGCTTCAACATTCTGCTCTTTCACATGTTGTCCTCAATCCTATAAATGCTTATGCATGTGAGTAGCCCTATTGACATCAGTGAGACTACATACTTGCTTAAACTGAAGTATATGTATAGGGTGACAAGACAGCAAGTATGAAAAATTGGGACAGGGGGCGTGGGGTAATAGGTGCCTATATCAGGCAAAGCCTCAAATACCGGGATTGTCCCTATAAAATCAGGACATCTGGTCACCCTAAATATGTATAAATATATGTAGTTTTGGGGTCTTAGTTTCAGTTTCACAAAATTGGTCAAATTTCCTCCCACCCTACCCCCCCCCTGCAAAAATACTTCTGACATTTCCCATATGGCTAACCTGACCACTCAAGTCATGAGTCGAGCCCCCAAAAATCATGACTAAAAATACACCTTTTGGGTTATGTTTTATTTGCCTTTGGTGTTTGATGGTTTACGTCCCAGTTGGGTCTCCTCATCAAGCAGTTCTCCACAACCACGAGAGCTAGAATCTTCGTACAAACGCTGAGATTCTCATTTAATCCGTTAACTTGAGGCGCTGTGGCTTTGAGGGAAAAATAAAACAAATTTTGCATGATTGCCAAAAATGCTTCTATTTTTAAGGGGAGACTGCTGGAGTTTCGCAATTCAACTTGATCTTTAGAACAAAATCTTCATTTTTTTCTTTAAAATGTGATATTTCAAAAGGTTGCAGATTTCAGTGCAAAAATTGACAGACCTGTCTAGGGCTAAAAAAATAGAGCAGAATAAATACTTTTGACATCTTGCAAAAAAATATTTTCCTCCTTTTGCACAGCTCTCCTTCTAGGTTTTAATTAAGACTAAAAAGGGCTTGTGGTTGTGGAGAACTCCTTTTAAAAGGAGCCAATGTGTTTATTTACTCTGACTTCCTACATTACTCAGACCACAGAAATTCTCATTACACTTTGTTGGTATTTTCAGAAGAATGTGTTAATAATATTGAGTTGGTGTTTTCTGCGGCCTACTCTGTGGCAGTTCATTTTCTTCCAGCGAGGTAGGCAGGCTGGTCCTCTAAATGTCCTATTTACTCCTTTATATGTCCATCCTCCTTTCCCATTCCCAGCAACAACAAAGATTACCCCAAATTAGCTCTAACTCTCCTTCCATACAAAAAGATCTGGATGAGACTCCATCTGGGGCACATCTGTCCAGGGTAGTCCTGTGGAGTGGGTCATAGGAGCAAGCTCTTTGTTGTTAGCGTTAAATTTTATATAAAGTTTTTCTCGCATTCCCTAATTAGTCAACTAAACAGCTGATGATGTCTAACTTTTTTTTTTATTAAAGATTCCTGACCTTGCAAAGAAACTGGAAGATATTAAAAGAGATGTGGAAGCTAAGAAGAAACCTCCCAGTGACAAATCCTAAGTCACTGATGTTGACCGGATCATCTCCACACAAATTTCAAGGATGTAATTCCCGTTCAAGCTACCAGTTCCAAGTAGAAGTGGGGCTTTTGGGGATTTCCTCCACTTCCAGTCTCCCAGAACCTGGCTGTCCTTGAGCTGAAGTGCAATCATGAATGTGCGGTGAGACCTAACATCAGGAGTTTCAGGAAACCTGATTCTGAGCTGATGTGATTGGAAAAGAAAGTTTGGATTTTCTTGCTGTTACATAATATTTTATAATCAATTTTTATATGGCTCAGCTGGAGATCACTGCAAATCCTACAATTATCCCTACCTGATGCTTTCTAATATTAATTCTTAAGATGCCTCAAAAGAAATTAAAACAAATGTATCCGGAAGTCACTTCTGAAGACTTTTTATTCTGAGTTATATTACGTCATTGTCCTTTCTTTAATCCTCCTGTATGAGACTGAATCATGGATAATTTCAGTCCCTGTGCTGGAGATGGAATGAGAGCTTTCTGAGTGTCCCGTGAATTTACATGATTAGTTGTCTGTTTCCACTGTTGTATATTATCTTGTTTTTGGCCGTGTTTTTCTTTGCACAAAGTGAGCGAAAACATGATTGACTCAAAAGACTACCAGCTTCAACCTACATTTTACCTTCACTGGTTTTTCTTTCTCTGCTCTGTTCCATTGCTTCACCCCATTTCATTTTCACTCCTTTCCCCTCCCCTTGGTCATTTTGAGAGACATACCTTAGGCTGGGGATGATGAATCAGCAATTGACTCAAATTCACTTAGCCATCTTCTAAAGATGGTTAAACATACAGCCCTTTTGCATCCTCTCCTTACTGCCCTGAACAGGGCTCTTCCCCAGATGAAGTATTAGCACATTGAATGTACTATTTGACACACCCTACCAGTCCCTCAACCCCCTGCATTGCCTTCAGACCTTTTCTTTTGCAATTGGACAGTAATTTTAGTATGTATACAGGTTCATCTTACCACCTCACTGAGCATGCTCTGGCACTACTTAGCCTAGCGTATTCCCCTTTACCTCCCACAACCACAATATATTAAATGGAAATGCAAACCCTTTAGTATGAGGCATTGATCCATGATGTTACAAGTACTACACCCTTTGGCCTGAACTGTAAATGAGACACATCCTGTCAGGCAAAAAGAGATGTAAGTTTATTAGTTAACTAATTAGTTTACTGTTCTCCATTAAAAAAGCACCCATCCTTTGCATTTCCCTTTGCATGCATGGTTTTTAGAAGTACATGTATAAATAAACAGACCCATCAGGTACCCCTGGTCAGTAACCCTGCAGCACAACTATAACAAGAATTAATTAACTTCACAACACCTGTGTAAGATGAGGGGGTGGAATTATCCCCATTTTACAGGTGGCAAACTGAGGCAGAGAGAGAGAGTAAAGCTAAAATTGTCAGAGGTTCCCATAAGTTTGTGCAGCCAACTTGAGACACACACGGCTGGATTTTTCAGAGTATTTAGCATTTTATAGCACTGTATATGTTCAAAACACAACTCCATTTGACTCTAGTTGCAGTTGGAGTGCTCAATACTTCTGCAAACTGGGCCCCAGTGTTTCAGGTTGGGCACCCAGTATATATGGAACACACAATCAGTGACCTATAATTAAAAGTTTGATTCAAGTAACTTGCTCAGCATCACACAGGAACCCCAGCGCATAGGCAAGGATAGCATCCAGTTTTCTAGGGCAGCATTCACCTAAAACCATCCTTTATTTTCCTGCAATTCCCTGTCTCAGTCACTACGCATCTTCCAACTATTGCAACAAATGAGAGAGGGTTTCTGTGAATAGCCACCTTCACTACAGAGCCCTTGTTCCTTAGCACCTCTATACCCTCCAGTCCCCTCCCACTGCTATCCACCTCAACAGCTCCTGTACCCCTCAACCTTTCCCCACCATCCTTCAGGTTCTGCAACTGCCTTTTCTCCACCTGGCCCACTTTCCCTCCCCCCCCCCCCCTTCGCATTCAAATCAGGGTGCTTTTCTCCTGTTCCACGGTGCCAGCAGGAGGAGCACAGAGAACAGGAGGAACAATTGCAGGGAAATTCCTGCTCAGCCTTGAATCCTGGGGCTGGAGCATGCTCAGAGCAGTCAGAAACTTACGAGCATTTAACTGCCAAACTTATTCATCTGAGACTTTACAGAGGCTTATAACTTAATCAAATTTGTGCACATTTTTACAGGAATGGCAAAAGGCACATCCCTGAACCAAAGGCCACCTCCCTGACCAATTTCAAATCCAGGCTCCAAAAAACAGGGGTTCTACAGTTTCTCAACCAAATAGTTGTGCGTATTTTTTATTTTTTTTAAACGTGGGCAAAATTTATTTCCTTCTAATCTCATTCTTGGAAATGGCCAGGCCATTTTAGCTGAAATTTTCCAGAAAAGTTGACTCTGAGTCAAACACCTGGCATGGAAAATTTCAGATTGAAGAATTAAAGTTTGGCAAGGTTATAAATGACTGAAAACAGGATCTTATCGTGCAACCCTAGTAACAGATGGCACCATTCCCATCTATAAGAATAAACAAAGTTTATATTAGACATTCCTACCAGCCATTTAAAATGATAACACTGTTTGCTGGTGATTACCAGTAAGCATCATGGTAGTAGTGGGTCTTAAGAAGGAGAAATCGCATCAATGTTGATGGGAATTCCGTAGGAAAACACAGCTATGCCAAACCACTATTGAGCACAGACCATTCTTTGAGAGAGACTCACACTGGGTAATCCAAAATCTATTCAAGTCAATCTTGCACTCTGTACTCATGCACTTTTCTCCTGAGTAATGAGTATAGAACTGGACCCATGCTGCCTAATTTTTTTAAAAGCCCCTTTTGCAAATGTGATGAATTTGGTAATAAACAATCTGAGGGAAGTTATTTTTCTTCCTTTCTCCAGAACTTTAGAGCCAAAATTTTGACATACTGTACTTAAAACCACTCAGATTTCTTCAGGTACCACCTATAATTATTTGAACACTTATTGTTAATTTAGTTTTTTCCCAAGGATTATATTATGCTCTTCCTGCACATCACACAGAGATGAGGAGGGAATGGGTATTTAAGGTTTCTCTATAATTTTTGACCATAGAAGCTGCTTTAGCATGAATGGTGCAATTTATATCTCAAATGTTCATCTGACAATTCACAGCAGATGTCAGGAAATTTTCGATCCACCTATAAAGTTTTTCAAATAGAGAGAACCAGGCACATCTGTGGTGCTATAGAAACAATACAAAAGTATTAATAATAAGGGTTTAAGTTTTTAAGTGTTCCACAAAGTTTGCAACATCTTGCATGTTAGCCCTGAATTATTTTTCTTCCACCTGGAAAACTGGAGAGCTCAATTACATTTTAGAAGGCAATAATGCTTGAAAATTTCACAAACCCTCTACAATAAATTGCATTAAACAGAATAGTTAGCCATGGACTACACTAGATTATACTGATGTACAACCCACAGTTACACATCCAACTGGCAGAAATTCTATTTGACATAAAGAGTGTATGATGCATAGTACCTGCAACTACAGGCCGCAGAGGTGTTATAGCAGGTCAGACACAGCTTAGACTAATTGAGAGCATCTTTGAGGCATCATCTGGCAGCAGGTTTCCCATTGCACTCAGGAACCAGGGCAATGAGCACATGAATGATACTGTAGTAAATAGCTGAATCACCAACCAGACTCTAAAACCACCCTTCCCTTGCAAAAGCACCTAGGATGAACTGGGGTGTAACTACTAGCTCCATGTTTTAGGGCTGAATCCTTCATGGGGGCACAGCAATGGGAGAGAACAGAGCACGGCCTGTTTCAAAGTCTGGGGAAGGAAGATATGGAATGCTACCACAGAAAGGCTGCATTACAGATGTTTAAATAACAAAAATAGAGCCCTTGACCAACAAAATCACAGAATGCTTCAAACCAAAAAGCTATCAATGTACCTCAAGTTTAGCATTTCCTCTGACCAACTTCTCACCCAACCACATGCTGCTAGAGTCACCAGGCTGGTTGTCTGTTGGCTGTTATAGCTATCCCAGAATACCTTGCTATGGAAAACTGCTGAGGCAGCCTGCTGCACCCAATACACAGGTGCTCCTGTGTTACTTCATGCGCCTCATTCAGATCAGGCAGCGCCAAACTGAGACTCCTGCAGAATCCTCATTTATACAAATGAAGGCAAGAACTCAATATTCTGGTTGTTTCGATATTCTTCTGCTTAGAGTCTCTCATTCCCTCTCCCCTTTCACTTCTCTTCGCTAACCCTTTTCTGCCCTGCCCCCAACAGACCTTAATGATGGAGGTCTTCATTCTAGTTAAAGAAGGCTGAACATGGTTTTCTGGGGGCCATCTTAGCACAACTTTGAGGACTGATGAATTTTGATGGGAGGCAATCCCTGCTGGCCTAGTAGCAAAGGACCTTTTCTCTGTGTATTAAATGACATCATGTCAAATCCTGGCCCAAAGGAAGTCAATGGTAACATTCTAATTGCTTTCTATGGGGCCTTAGACTTCCCTCTCCTACCGCATTGTCAGTCACGCCTCCCAACAGGTTCATGTTGACCTCACATCTGCTTTTTTTAGGGAGCACTGTGATATATTCTGTGCTGGCTTGGGGGCATAGGTCGTACCAGCTTTGGATCACTATGGCCAAGATTCATAAAGATACTTAGGCCCCTACCTCCCTTTGTGCTACTGGGCCTATACTGTTCAACCGGCCATGGCGCACACACAGGACAAAGACACAAATCAGTGCCATATGTTCAAGTGATGTGGGATTAATTTCATTAACATAAATTACATTTTGTAGAAATATGTTTAGGCCTTGCCATTTCTGCATAGAGTAAATATTACTGCTGTGTGATGGCGTTATTTTTGTGTCTTAGAAACCGGTGCCTCATGCAATGAGGTAGGCAGTTAAACAGTGGAGAGACAAATTCCCCTATACTGCTCTTTTTACGTCTTTCTCTGGGGGACTGAAAAAAATAGCTATTTTGTTAAGTTTGTCAGTGGTGTATGCTAACCTTTATGGATTCCCAAGAGGTGGGTTCTATTTATTGAATACGTAGCAATATAAGATAACAGATGTTATTCATTACTTCTCTTGAAATATGCATTAAAATTTAAATGATCACGAACTGTCTTGTTTGCTTCTTTGAAGATTAGAGAAAGTTGCAGAATTTATCCTCAGAACAGATGTTCCATGAAAACAGAGCTGTGGTTTGTCCCCGCCACCCCCTCACGCCCCGTTGCAGAGTATTTGGGGCCAGAAAAAGAAGTGACGGTATATCACTGGTTGAAGCCCCCCCACCCCCCACCCCACCCACACACACACACACACATTCATATTCCATCTTGTTACAGCCTTATCTTTACTTTTACTGTATTTTAAGATTTCAGGTGTCAGAAATAACAGTCTTGAAGTTTGAGGTCAACTTCAGCTATTAATGCACAGAGCTGCATGTCCAATCATATCCTCACACTGAACACGGTGATGGTTATCTGTAGGTAATGTTCAGCAGTCTGCTAGGAATAGGATTGAGGCCCAGATCTTCAGAGGTATTTAGGCTCCAAACTTCAACTGATTTCAGTTAGAAGCTAGGAATCTACATACCTTTGAGGATCTAGGGTCTGAGTGTCAAATTCTGCCAGGCTTACTCCCACTGAGTCATGCCTTACTCTGAAAAACACAACGTTAAGATCTATGGAGCTTCTTGCGGAGTAAGGTCCAGTGTGCAGCAGGATGGAAAAACTGACCCTTTGAAATCCACTCCTAAATTTGATGATTTATAGTTTCCAAGCCAGAGAGAAACAAACGGCTGTTGCACAAGTGTTAGCACAATTACAATTGCACAAAGGGATTTCTGCACTGAGAAAGAAAATATCACTCTATCTATCCATTATAGAATGAAAATTTGCTCTCAGTGTAAATCCAGAGTAACTCAGTTGAGCTCGGTGGCATTATTCAGGATTTACATCAATGTAATAAATTATATATTTGTCCTTAAAGGAGATTCTACTTAACCTTTTACTTGCATATAGGATTATAAAATGGTTTCATAGACAGTATAGTATAACTATCGGTTAATATGGCAAAGTGATTTTTGGATAGAAAGCCTGGCATTTTCTTGTTACATGTCAGACTGATATAGAACTTTTAGTAGGGTTGACTATATTTATGGGTGAAATGTTCAAAGCATATGGAAATGACTTTATTTCCTTTCTGAAGAAAAGGCTTAATTTTTGCTTATTGGAAAAGAGAAATCTGAAGTTAAATGACAGTATGTTATAAAGATAAATAACTGTTTTTAAAGGTTTTTTTCCCCGCTTTGTTCATTTGTCAGTTTTAGTCTCACTTTTAGGGTCTGTCTACACTGCAATTAGACACTTGCGCTGGTCCATGCCAGCTGACTCGGGCTTGTGGGGCTCAGGCTAAGAGGCTGTTTAATTGCGGTGTAGACGTTCAAGCTCAGGCTGGAGCCTGAGCTCTGGGACCCTCTCATCTCACAGGGTCCTAAAACTTGCTCATCAGATTACATCAAATACTTTCCAAACATACGTTATCCTGCTAGAGGGTATTGGTGGCTGCTAACAAAGGTGTCTGGTCTATAGGCAATCACAGATCTCATTGAAGCTGATGGGCATGCTAGCAACATTTCATTCAGGCTAAATGTGGGGGCAATTAAATGCCACTTGGTTTAGTGATAGCTGAAATAATAGAAGCCAATGGCCAAGGCATGGCCCAGCATGGCAAGGCCTAAATAGAAGTCAAACCATGCAGCCCAAGGAGTTTCCTTGGAGACTGATTGCAAATGATGGGATTGATATGGTTACAGCTGACTGTCTGAATGTGAAGGAAAGGAACAAGAAAGTGAACAGACAGTGAGAGAAACAGTGTGAGCATAGCCCTGGGAGGAAGCCGAGAGAGAGAGCTACTTTTGGGCATAGTACTGTCTGGAAGGCAGATTTGGACTTCTGAGCAAGGAAACTGTCTTCTGTTGTGTGTTTCCACTGCGTTCGGGGAAACAAGGCTTTGCACTGCCTTTGTAATTAAACAATATTTCACCAAAGACTAGACATAATCATCAACCACTCCTCCTAACAGTAACAACCGGCTAGGAGGCAATAATATCCTGAGGACCTGGCCCCCGTTAAAATGTCTGAGCTCCCATCCACCGACATTTAAATGAATGCAGGTCGGCCATTGTGCTACTGTAGCCCCCTGCATGGATCAGCAGCTGGATTTGAACTCAAGATCTCGAGCACAAACCTTCACCACTTGAGCTAAAGGACTAAGACCATCATTGGGGAAAGAAGCTGGCAGCTACCCTCTATGTAACAGCTAAAGAGAGAGGATGTATAGCACATACTAAACAGTGGGTTACACTATACTATTGCTATATAGGACTCACTATATTTTTCAGGAACAAATTTCCACCAAGTACATTCAATATAAATTGTTTTGCCAAGTGGTGTTGCCTCTTTCTTTCGTTATGATTATAAAGGAGTGTTTTTGTTAAATAGGAAGGCAAATGGAGAGATTTCCCCCTCCTTCAACACCCTTCTTTGCAAATACATACTCCCCTTCTTATTAGGGCCCTACCAAATTCACAGCCATGAAAAATGCACCACGGACCCTGCAATCTGGTCTTTTGTGTACTTTTACCCTATACTATACAGATTTCACAGGGGAGACCAGAGTTTCTCAAACTTGGGGTCCTGACCCAAAAGGAGTTTGTGGGGGGTTGCAAGGTTATTGTAGGGGGCTATGGTATTACCATCCTTCTGCGCTGCCTTCAGAGCTGGGTGGCCAGAAAGTTGCGTCTGCCGGCCAGGCACCCAGCTCTGATGGGAGCACCACCAGCAGCAGTGCCAAAGTGAGTGTGGCAATGGGTGGCCGGAGAGTGGTGGCTGCTGCTGGCTGAGGGCCCAGCTCTAAAGGCAGCAGCGCAGACGTAAGGGTAGCAATACCATACCAGGCCATCCTTACTTCTGTGCTGCTGCTGGCAGTGACGCTGCCTTCAGAGCTGGGCTCCTGGCTAGCAGCTGCTGCTCTCTGGCCGGCCAGCTCTGAAGGCAGCACAGAAGTAAGAGTGGCAATACCGCGACCCCTCCTACAATAACCTTGTGATGCCCCCATTACCTCCTGTTGGGCCAGGACCTCTACCATTACAACACTGTGAAATTTCAGATTTAAATATCTGAAATCATAAAATGTATGATTGTTAAAATCCTATGACCGTGAAATTGACCAAAACAGACCATGAATTTGGTAGGGCCTTATTTATTATATCGATTATATTACAGGAAACCGCTTGTTAAAATGTAAGCACTACACCAATATTAACATCTACTTGGAAATGTGCCACCGTGAGCAGCACTTGGGTCACTGAGAGAAAAGTAGCCATGAGTCTCATTTATAGTCTTACAGAGCATTAGAACATGACACAGTGAATAATTTATTTTATTGACATCTTATTGATGCACTGTAGACAATTCACACTAACTGTGAGAGATGCTCGTTTCAAAGTGGGTAGCCTATTGAATGAGCTCTATAAAAACTGATTAAAGTACATAGATAGTGATTATGTGAGAGCCAATTTTCCTAATACACAGATCAAAAATTGACAGTAAATCAGTAATTAAAAATACATTGCATGAGGGAAGCCTACTGGGGATCATTGGGATCCAGTCAGTAATGCAGATCATCCGCCTTTAGAAAGGTGAGAGAGACTGGCCCCTTGGAGTATAGTTACACTGCAATGTAAGCCCAGGGATATAGAACTCTAGTTATCTTGCACGTCTACACTCATTTGTAACCCCAGTGACTAGTAATATAAGCCAATCTTATAGACTCATAGACTCATTTCCAGAGGGTCTGGCTAGAGAATCTTGCCCGCATGCTTGGGGTTCAGCTGATCGCCATATTTGGGGTCGGGAAGGAATTTTCCTCCAGGGTAGATTGGCAGAGGCCCTGGAGGTTTTTCGCCTTCCTCCGCAGCATGGGGCAGGGGTCGCTTGCTGGAGGATTCTTAGCGATTTGAAGTATTTCAATCATGATTTGGGGACTTCAACAGCTGAGTCAAGGGAGAGAATTCTTCCAGGAGTGGGTGGGTCAGCTTTTGTGGCCCGCATCATGCGGGAGGTCAGACTAGATGATCATAATGGTCCCTTCTGACCTTAGAGTCTATGAGTCTATGAATTATTGAACCCTGGGTCTCAACCTGGAGCTCCAGAGTCTACACTGCATTATGTGGCCCTGAGTCCAACCACCCATATCCCAGACTTCCTAGCACTCTCTCAAAATGTGGCTGCTCTAGGGTTGGAAAACGTGACCCTCCACCAAACTTGCCTGTCCAGAGGACAAAGAAAGTCAACCCATAAGATTGTGGAATACCTTTGGCTGACTCCCAGTGCACAAGTCCCATGGGGCTGTGACTACTCTGCAAAGAAGTAGGGCTTGAACCCTGGGTCCTGGCTTGACTCAGACTTGCAACCTACACCCCTGTGGGGTCCTAGGACCCTGGATCAGTGCAATTTGTGTGTAGACGGAAGGAGGGGTTAGGCTTGAGCCTGAGTCCAAACCCTGGGCTTATATTACAGTGCAGACATATTCTTGGTATGCCTCTTAGTTGCTGTATCTCGAAGCTAGCTTAGTTTGGAGCTCCTGGTCTTTGGGCTGCTAGAAAGCAGGTGAGTGGAGTCTTGGAGTGAATGTGGTGATGTTGAGATTATGCCAGTGCCACACCTCTTCAGCCCTCTCCCTTCTTACTCATGGTGCAGCATTGATTGTGATCTTGGATGAGACTGTCCCTTCTCCATTTAGAGAACATGTGGCCCGGCCACATAAGGGTTTACTGGGAACTGCTTTCACTGCTAGAGAAAGCTCTCACCACAGTAGTGAAATAAAAAGGAATGCAAAGCCTGACAAATACTTTCCAACTGAGATCTGGAGGAGGTTCTGAAGTTCCCTTTTCCAAAAGAGAGACCACAAGTACTGCAGTACATGAATTTTCATGCTAGAACTGTGGAGAAACCCTCAGTCCCCTCCCCTATAGCCATGCCCAGGCCCCTTGTCCCTATCTGTGTAGTTGTTTCTTCCCTCCCATTCCTGTGGGTGCTACACATTTGCTATTCAGATTTCTCTCTACCTTCTGTCTCTGACTAATTGGTCCTTCTGAAGCAGCAATGACTCACCTCAGAAAAAATTTTTGCATTGCAAAGAATTAGGCTTATAAAACCTTCAAGTTAGGAATAACATCCCCTGTGGAAATCTGAATGGTATCCATTATATTCTTGAGTTCTCTCCTTGGAATCATGTATCCTGTATTTCAATGGGGACAGTTCTATGTAATTATTCTATAGCAAGAGGAAAACTATAAGCAGGCTTCTCTTTTGGAATTATGGTATCTCAGGGTAAGCAGCAATAAATCATAGCAAATCTGACTTTTTATTCTCATGTTGATTTTGAACATTGACAAAGGCAATGTAAATGTTCACTTTAGGAAATAAAGGGCAAGGTGTCTTTCATGGGAGACCTTTCTCTGGACTTGCTTCATGGTTTTGTGGAGGCTACTGAATCTATATACACTCAAGTTTCTTCCTTCCTTTTATTTGTGCAATTTAAACTAAATATTTTGCCCCAATCAGCTTTGGTTCTGCAAGTTTTGTCATTGATGGTTATGACTGACCAGTTACATTGCTGACCATTGCCCATTCTGGAAATGTATCCAGTTGGAAGAGGCTAATTCCCCAAGTGTTGATCGCCACCATGACAACCACTAGACCAATCAGATTTACACCCAAGCCAGCTTTCACCTATGGAAAAAACAAACAAACCAGAGTACAGTCAATGTCAAACAGATTAGAAAGCATTAATTAATAAACACAGAAGGTGGTAGGATGCATGGTGGAGAACAGTCAATTCCCTAACTCTCCCTGTTGCATAAAGAATAAAGTAAATTTGCTGACTACTCTGGCAGAAAAAGCCTAATGAATAGTTGTGTGTGAGAGTGTGCATATTAGTGCAGAAAATACAGGAGACGTCGTCAAAGGTGCATGATAAATGCAATTCATCACATGGCTACAATTTGTCACATGGACATCTCCTCCCTATATTTATACCACATATGCCAGGTGATAGCTATAGACTAATTGTAGGTATATGATAAATCTCATTTGTCATACCTCTCTAACTTCTGCACTTGCACTCTGCTCACGAAGGTTATGTCTACACTAGACCTGAATGGTGTAAATTCCAGCTCAAGAATACATATTAGCATGCTGAAGATAGAGTGTGGCCATGACAGCACAAGTGGCAGAAGGGACTAACTGCCTCGAATACATACCTAAGGTTTCAGACAGGTACAAACTTGAGGCAGCTAGCCCCTCCCTCTGCTTGTGCCATTGAAGTTATATCCTATATTTAGTGTATTAGCTCAATCAGCGCTAGCTCAGGTACGACTCCTTGACCTGGAATGTACATAGAATCATAGGACTGGAAGGGAACTCAAGAGGTCATCTAGTCCAGTCCCCTGCACTCCATCTCCAATTGTAGACATATCTTAATCTCCCTTCTCCAGGACTGCTATTGTAGTTGTATTACAGGATAATTGGGGGGATCTTGTACTGTCACTCTTTGATACATTTCACAAGCATTATATTCATTTTAAAAAACAGAGAGCACACACACGCACACCTCCTGCCACTGATGTTCTTAAAATGAGAGTTACTGTGAAATTGTTGCAGTGCTGACCAACGTGACTTTAAATTAACTTGGATCCTGTGATTATTTTCAGATCCCATATATGATGATGAGTTCAGTTTGCATTAAGCTTGGAACAATGTGACTATTCTCAAGACTTACCATGTCTTTGATCTGGCAGTGCCCGTAATTGAATACAATGGCATTTGGGGGGTTGCCCACTGGCAGCATCACCGCAAAGGAAATACACATTGTTACAGGAATCAGAGTGTATAAAGGGTTGATATGCAAGGTTTCCGACTATAAAGAGAGAGGTTGGGTGAGAAAGAGAAGTTCCACATTGTTAGCTATAATTACAGATAAAAGACGCCTGTCTGCTTCCCCCCATCCCAAGATCTAGAATTATTAGCATACCCTCCATTCCCTAAATTCTAAGGTCTAACTTACTTCCCCCCTCCATTACCCTTGGGTACTGCAGGAGGGCTGTACTCCATGTTGCTCCTTCCAGAGGAGGCCACTATAGCCTGACAGGATGAGCTCCCTTCCCCCAGCAGTCAAGCATGTTGCTTCCATAAAACCCTTCGCAATCTTGGGTTGGGGAACAAGGTACTGGGCTTTTGGTCTGAATTCACATAATTAGGGTGACCAGATAGCTAGTGTAAAAATCAGGACAGGGGGTGGGGAGTAATAGGCGCCTCTGTAAGACAAAGCCCTGAATAGCAGGACTGTCCCTATAAAATTGGGATGTCTGCTCAACATACACATTACCCCCATAGCATTTCACTGTGTAGATCACGAGGACAAATCCTTAAAATGGTTTTTATGGAGAAAGTCGTGAAAATATCTAGCATTCACTTTTCAGACACATTTCACAGATTATATCCCTTGTGAAAAGAGCTTCTCATTACATAAAAGGCAAAAACCAAGGAAGGTTTCTATAATTGCTGTGAAAATAATAGTTTTTATATATATACTAATATAGGATATAATTAGTATCTGCTCTCCCCCTCCCCCGCCAGTGACACAAGCCTCCATACCCACAATGTCTTCCTCTCTTACAAATGTCTTTGTTCATTTTTCCATGTTGTTCTTATGCTTGGCCTGCCAACCTGTTCACCAAGCTGCCTCCCACCCCTCAGTTAAATTCCCTATGAAATAATTCTGATGTTTCTGCTACAAAAACCAAAGAGGTAGACTGTTAACTAATGGATTATAAATACAAAATAGAATAAAAAAGCCTCAAGACGTGTACATGGTTTGCTGAGTAATCATGTGACCTTATTATTGTCAATCTTGTCTTTCCCTTTCTCATCTCCCTTCCCCCTTTTCTGTTACAATTAAACTGTATGCCCCTCAGGGCAGGGACTATGTTTTTACTTGTTTTGAGAAGTGCTGAGCACATTTTTGGGTGTTCAGAAATGTATTGCACTCAGGCCTGTTGGCTGACCATGCTTATTAATTTTTCTATAAAAGAAAGAGCAAAGCAATGACACTCAAAATGAAGCAGAGTTCTACCCTGGCTCACAGCACTCATCGCCTAAAATCTCAAGATATTCCATGAAGTTAACAGGGAAAAAACCAGCATAAAATCCCATTGTTTTTACTCACCATACTGCATAAAATAGGCAGAAAGATTGTTATGGTTGCTGGGTTACTAACGAACTCTGTTACCATGGACACCAAGATGCAAGCCAGCAGAGTGACAGCCCAGTAGGGAAGGCTGCTCAAGGACAACATCTGGCGTCCAATCCATGTCGAAAGGCCAGAGGTCTAGCAGAAACACATACAATAATGAGAGAATGGCAGGATACAAGTTATGTTTCCAAACCAAATCCTTGTATGTGAGAGAGTTTGCAATGGAGTATCCCACTGGCAAGTATCAGAGGGGTAGCCGTGTTAGTCTGAATCTGTAAAAAGCAACAGAGGGTCCTGTGGCACCTTTGAGACTAACAGAAGTATTGGGAGCATAAGCTTTCATGGGTAAGAACCTCACTTCTTCAGATGCAAGATGCAAGATGCAAGATGCATCTGAAGAAGTGAGGTTCTTACCCACGAAAGCTTATGCTCCCAATACTTCTGTTAGTCTCAAAGGTGCCACAGGACCCACTGGCAAAGAACTTTAGCTCAGTAAATTGGGCAGCCCCCGATTTAGTAGCTTAATGTTCAATAAATTAGTGCTTTCAGTCCAGTTCTTAGTAGAGTAGTCCCTCATAGTTACGAACACCTTGGGAATGGAGGCTGTTGGTAACTCTGAAATATTCATAACTCTGAACAAAAGGTCATGGTTGCTCTTCCAAAATTTTACAACTGAACATTGATGTAATATAGCTTTGAAACTTTACTATGGAGAAGAAAAATGCTGCTTTTAGTCATCTTAATTTAAGTGAAACTAGCACAGAAACAGTTTCCTTACCTTGTCAAATCTTTTCGTAAACTTTCCCTTCATTTTTTAGTAGTTTACATTTAACACAGTACTCTACTGTTCTCCCCCCCTTTTTTTATTTTTATTTTTTTGTGTGTGTCTGTGTCTCTGCTGCTGCCTGATTGTGTACTTCCAGTTTCACATGAGGTGTGTGGTTGACTGGTCAGTTCGTAACTCTAGTGTTCATAACCCTAAGGTTCTACTGAAGCTAGGGGTCCATAACATAAAACTACCTCATTTGGCACTAAATGGCACTACTAGTTGTTTAGCAGAGAGACCAAAATTGAATGGGCAGAAAGACTGTACTTCCCCCTCACTTGTAAAGATTGTCCTTCCAGGTCAGAACTGAGGCTCACTGAATGGGTGGGGGAAGACTGTCTAAATATAGGTCTTTAGAGTACTTAGTACAATGGGACCCCAACCCAGATTGGGGCCTGTGGGTGCTACTACGAAAGTAATGGTAATGCCATTTCATGTGCTGTAGTTCTGCAAATCAAAGCCCTCACTTCCTAGGGTTGCTAATCTAATTTGATTCACTCATACTCATTTCATTTTAATCCCTGCCATCACCAAAACCAATCCATACTCATATTTGAGTATGAAGGCTGAAGCAGTGTTTTCCATGGTAACACTGTAACAAAGTAGCTGACTTGTTTTTGTGACTTTTGTTTGCTACTTTCCAGTCATCATGAAAGAGATTGCACACCAAGCTCCTGAATTATGCTAGATGACCAACTTTCACAAGAGCATATCGAAGGTTTAGGTGACATAGCCTTTTGAAAGTGTCATAGTAATTTTGTTACCAGAATTGTCAGAACACCACAGGTTAAAATAAAGGTGCAGGCTTGTAAGTATTTTAGATATTCAAGTTCTCAGAGAGAAGAATGGAAAATCTAACTCAATACCTTGCATCCAGCCGCTAGAGCATAACCTCCTCCAACCAGCACTACAATCTCCCAGGGCATGGTCTTCTGGAAGTCCTTCCATGTAATTATTGGCTCCATTGAGTTAATATCTGTAGAATTTTCACTATCTCCTATGTCAAAGCAAAATAAAGGTACATGGCTAATGCTAAACTGGCCATTTCCCTAAGATATTGAGCATTCTGCACTGAGCTCTGACTTTGTGACTTCTAGCTTGGATCACTGTAATGCACGCTCTATAGGACTACCTTTGAAGACCATCTGTAGGATAAAGCTAGTGCAGAATGCAGCTGCCAACCTCCTTGGTTTCAGCCTCAGGAAGCATAATACCTAAATTTTCTAAAGGCTGAACTGGCTTCCTATTGGCTTCTGGGGTTGACATTGATGGTTATATAGCCCTATGGCTATTTGAGAAGTGTGTGCATGTATGTATTTCAGATGTGTCTGTGTAGTCCTAGACTTGAATGTCTGAGGTTTGGTGGTTGTGCATTCTCAAAAGAGGGTCTTCACTTGTAGAATTAATTTCTCCTTGTCCAACAGAGCCCAAGTATGTTTAATATCAGGACAATATACAAAGTCCATCTGTTTGCTCAGTCTTTTCCTCAGGGTAATATTAGCTTTTAGAGGTCTGAGTCTTTTGTTGAATTGGATTTACTATTAATTCATTTTTTTTCTAAATGCGGTATATATCTGTAGGGTGATCTACCATGTAAAAATATACACATACATACAATTTCTAATAAATATATGGAAGCAAATGTCAAGGGACCATATCTTCATATGTTTGTACAATGCTTAGCACAAAGGAGGCCTCATCCTGACTGAGGCCTCTGGGTGTTACTAAAATGTAAATGTTAAATAATAATAATCGCAATCAAGAAGACTATGTTAACAGTAATATTAACATAAAATGGATCAGTCTCTATCTACGTTATCAGATAGCAGTGGTAGTACATTGGAGTAATTTTTTTTTTTTTGGTGCCGAGCAGTTCCCCAATTCTTCTAAACCTGAAATATGGCAAGGACTGAGTTTTTTACAAGTTCTAATTTCCATGCACTATTGCAACACTCAACTGCAATATTAAAGACTGTCGTTCTCAACCTTTGCCTCACCATGATCCTATGTTATACGTTTTGGGACCTTAATGTAGCCATAAAATAAGAGGATGGGAATCACAACCTCCCGTCAAAAAGTGTGTCAAGTCTCATTCTAGATGACTTCTTCTTACCTTTATCCCTCTTTCCAAAGCATGGTTTCTTTGCTGGAATCAGGAACATGAGAAAACCAAGGAAGACAGAGACAGTAGCATCAGTCCGGTAGCCTTTTCTAGGAAAGAAACATTGTGATTATAGCAATGCTATACTAAAAGTGGGCTGTAGTGAAGTGTGTGTGCAACACCCCATGTTCTCAACAGCATGCTGAACACGCTACTCAAGCTTTTTCTTTTCTTTACTTTTCTTTTTGTTATTGGGTTTGGTGTACCTTTCCTCCACACAACATGCCATACATTTATTCTATATATTATAGAGGGAAATACTTTAAGCATAAAATCATTTCAGCTCCTTCCAGCACCAACACAAATTCAAGAATGTGATGTACTTGTATTGCTCTATAACAGTGCCATCCAAACTTTGCTTAACTGGCAACCGCTTTAACATTTTGTCAGTAACATAAAGGCTACACTGGGTGGGAACCTCAGCTGATGTAAATCAATGTAGCTCACTGAAGTGAATTTAGATGCAAGTCTGTGGGAAGTTGTTAGAGATTTAGTCACAAGCCCATGTGCTTGCACTTTTCATGTGTGGAAACATATCAGTGGACATGCATAGAGCCCTGAAAATCCATTGATATCCGCTTTATATCCACAGATATTCGGATCCACTGATGCAGATATCCTTGGATCATTTTTGCAGATTGGATGCGGATACAAACTTTGTATCCACGCAGGGCTCTACACATGCAATTTTGCAATGCTGAAAACTTAGTAGATGGCCTTTAGAAAATTTACCCCAAAATGTGAAGGGAATAAATTGGTGTTTTCCCTTGATTTGAGCCTCTGTGTGCCAGCTAGATGTAGTCATTATTCAAGAATTATTAATATTCTAATGACTAATAATGGTCCCTTCAGGTCTTAAAGTCTCTGAATCTACTCAATAGATCTGTTCAGGATTTAAATGCTGAACCCTCTGTAGTATTCCTGGTAAAACTGAGGGTGACAGAAAGAGCTATGTTTACTAGAACCAAGTGTCAGTAAACAAATTTTGGGAGCACAGCCAACTGTTTCTCTGCATGGATGAACTAGAGAATGATGCTGACTTTAAAAACAGTCTGCAGGTTATCTGATGCTCCCTGTGCTAATATCCAAAACCAAGCCCCAAACACCAGAACTCTGAACTATAACAACAATCAAACCTAGCAGCAAACATGCTTTTGGGGATTTCTTTGTAGTAAAATTGTTTTTTTAAAAGAGTTGTTTGCTTCGGACTTCAGAATTTGGGCTCTTCCATTTTTTCTACTAGGAACAAGTTTCTCATGTTGTTTCTCATAGTCTAATGGAGTCACCCTGCTACCTGGAGAAACAGGGACACTGTTTTGGTTGTGTGAACAGGTATAGTTAAAATAGTGAGCATCCTCAGTCTTGATCAAAATGGCTACTGGCATCCTGAGAGTCTATGGCCAAAAACCAATCAACCAAATTGTTTTAGAAACCCAGGAAAATCAGAACTTCATTCCTCTGCAGATGATTAGGAGGCAACCGTACTCACTTACTTCTCAAATAAAGATGACCAGCCTGGAACAAAGCCAGGCTCCCGTGTAAACCAAAGCAAGGTCATCAAGATGAAGAAAAACCCAGTCACCATCTCAGGATAGCTTGGGAGAAGAGGTGAGGAGAAAAAGCAAGAATACAACCTGAGATTAATGCCAAAATCCAGGAGCAAATTCCACAGAGAGAAAAGAATTAGAGATTGGTTTCAACACACAATGAAAAAATCTACAGGGAGAATAAAATAGGAGATCAGTTTGAACTAGGGTTTTACATTTGAGTCCTAGCTGTTACCTAAATAAAGTCAGAAAAAAATAAAGCTGAGTATCTCATTATCTGTATTTATACTGTTATACTTTCATTTGTCATGAGATATTTATGAGCCCAAACAAATACAAAATCTTGTATTTTTATGGTATTTCTATGATCCAGGAACTGAAATATGGCAACAAAATAAATTTTCCCTTATTTCTGCATTGTAAATGGTTTTCTATGTGATTTTTAAAAGCATATGAAAATATAATTACAGATACTAAAATAAACAAACATCACTACTTTAAACACAAACAAATACTAGACTAGAGATGGGCTGAGGAGTTGCTATTCTGATCTAGATTTTATTCAGGGTTCAGATTCACGGTTTAGAGGCTGAATAAGGGCTAAGATTTAGATTTAAATTTGATCATGCTAAAATCTTGCAAGTTGATCTCATGAACTTTCACTGAACACTGAGAAATCTTTGAAGAAGAGCTGATCTCATGAGATAGCTCCCATCCTGAAAGGTGGGCATCTTGCAAAATTTAGCTTTTCTTTGCCACATCTGATATGCAGTTGGAAAATAGGCCCCTTTCTGCTTTGGAACCTTAACTGTAGGGGCAAATCAAGATCTATGGGTTTGAGTCTGAAGCCAATGCCCTCTTCCCACCTCCCCTAAAAAAAATCATAGGTGTTTTTATTCAAGTCTCTGGTTTTGATGTATCTTTATAGTGGACCACTCACTTACCCTGAAAAGAAAGAGAAATAAGTCCCAAAATGTAGGACTGATTCAATAGGGAGAAAGAATTGAGAGATCAAGTCCAACATATATAAGACAAATTCAACTTGGAGGACAAAACAAAAGATGGGTTTCAACACATGAAAGGCAAATTCCACAGGAATATATGCTCTTTTTACCTAGTATTCCCCAGTTTCTCATATTCCTCTTGAATTCTCCTCTCTGACATCTCTTCTCGTTTGGTCTTCTTCTTCTTGCTCACAGAACATGTTTCTTTAAAACTGAGAAGGATAATTTAGCACAGGAATATGAGAGAAGGGAGTCACATTTCAGAATGAAGATACCATAGTATGCAAATTATGCAGCAGATGAGATAGCTGAGGACCTAATCCCTGTGGCTGGCTGAGCTATGCTTGGTGCAGGACATGAGCGCTAAAATGGGGAAGGTTGCTGTATACCATTTTTGCACTCATCCAATTCCCAGGGGTGCTGAGATCCAGTTCAACCCCCAGCATGAGCAGTCTTCGGGCTGTTCTAAATAATCCCAGCTGGTAATAACACACAAGGGGTCAATATGCCAGATCATAATCACTGGAGCACATTAGTGTTCCAGCCATGCTACCTCCTCTCCACCATGCCCCATCACATTCCCCTCACTAGGCAATTTTTACCAGACCTGCAACATCCAGGTGGTCCCTATGCCAGGCAATCCTTAGAAACATAAGAATGGCCATACTCAGTCAGACCAATGGTCCATTGAGCACAGTATCCTGTGTTCTTACAGTGCCTGTTTAGGGCAGGTTACAACCACTTTATACCACATCATGGGTAGGTTGTGGGCCCAAAACATATAGAAATTTTGTTCTAAAATGGGACTAGTTTTTCTATATAGTGGATCTATGTGTTGTCCCCTTCCAGGAATAGCATTCTGAATAGCGCACACAAAAGGGATTCTGTCTGCCTAATCCCATTTGACTTGGTGAAGAAAGTATGATTCTTGAAAGCTCAGGGTGCAACCTTTTCTGCTTTAAGTAGTCTGGTAAAGGTGTGATGCTGCATGGAATCTGGGGGACACTTGAGGATATTATGAATATCAATATTGTAAAATTGTAATGAGTTAGGCCAGATATGCCATGTAAGGTATCTGCAAAAATAATTTGCCAGATATGATAATCTTGTTTATATGTTTGTGTCACCTTTGTATTATGGATTATAGGTATGTATGTCTGTATTTCAAAACTTGTGTTATGCTTCTGGGTGACACCCCCAGACAGCACTGTCTAGCCTGCTTGATGGCCCATTAAGGACCATCAGCTATAGAGTTGACCCATTGAGAGAAGGCAGATACACCTTGTGACTCAGCAAGGCATGCAGGGACATGCCTATGGAGAGAATTCTAAGCCTTTCAAGCCATGTGCTGGGCAGCTTGTGTTTGAAACAAAGGAAGCACAGGCCATATGGCAAAAGACTATAAAAGGCAGCTGCATCTTCTCCATTTTGTCTTCAATCTGCTGCTTCTTACCTCTGGAGGAACTTTGCTACAAACTGAAGCTCTGAACAAAGGACTGAATGACCCATTGTACGCTGGGAATCCCCACAACTACAGTGTTTGCTGTCCATGAGATTGACATAACTGCCTTTGATATTTGTTTAAACCAGGATTACTCTTGCAAGGTTCCACTCTTTCTGTAACTGAAGGGTAAAGTCAAAGCCGATGATCCTACTGTTCTGCCAGTGAACAATTTCTATATTTCTATCAAGGAGATACAAATACAAGCACATTTTATGGCTGAGTGCATTTAAACTGCCTACAAATTTATATGCAAATTAGGTGCAGCCCTCAGGCTCATGGAAAATTGCATTTGCGTGTCACAAAGTCTGGACTCATTTATTTAAACTGAGATGCTTGTAAGCTTTTTTTACCCTCTTCTCAAGTACTGTAGCAACATTTTGCTTTTCTGTTCCAATGGGAGATTGACACCTAACCTGCTTAGATGCTTTTGTAAATTGCATTGGTGTCTACCTGCAATTTTAGGCACCAAAATACCTTTGTAAAACTGATGCTTAGATATTTGCAGCAATACTTACTTTGTGCAGCACTAGCTGAAGTGAAAAGCTGTGTCTCTGTGAACTACCCTTTCCCCTGTCCCAAGGAGGGGTCACAATATTTTTCCCCCTGATTTTCAGGTAGGAAGAACTTTATAGGCCTGTTTCCCTCCCTCTTTGACCTACAAAAAGGCTAGACTCTGCATTCTGATCCAAGAACTTGAGTTTCTAGGCTAGAAAGAAAATCTGTAAAGCTGTTCCAGTCATTGCACTAGCTAGGGAGAAGAGATTGACAGTGGATGCCCTATTAAAAAGGATACGTGGCGTGAACATTACCAGGAATTCCATAGATGTCCATCAGCAAGCACTAGACTAAACATTGCTTCAACATGTTACCAATATCACTTGCCAAGTCTTAGAAGGATTTGCAGGCAGAGCATTATAACCAGACTCCTAACTTAACATATTCTCTAATGAACCACAGAGAATAGGAGTTGGAGATTAAAGAGGCTTGGAACCAACCAACACTTCACAAAAGGTCAATAATGCTTCAGTTCATTGGTGTTCTTTAGAATAACATTAATCAGGGTGAATTCTTGGATGGAATGTGGAATTTCAATGCTGTTTATTAAAAAAATAAAGGAACTGAGAGTCATGTTAGGGCCTGTTTCCTCTCAGGATTAAAAAATAAATAATTTATTATAGCCTTTTACATTGAAACTAGAAGATTGAGAAAAGGGCACAGAGCTATTTACCTCTTCAAATGCACTTCAAGATCAGTAGCAACCAGAAGTCATTATCATTTAACAGCTATTTCATTTTCCTATGTGAAATAGGTTAATGATGTCAGCCAAACTCCCTCTTGCCCTCACAATTGGCTTTATTTTTCCCTCGGAGAGGCCACGGTCTAAAGCCAAACCGTGACTTGTGAGCCTCATGCAGCTTTATCACAGTTAAAGAGTGGCTTGTGGAACCCCCACACTTCCCCCCCATTCTCCGCCTACCAGACTGTTTGGGGGAACTCAGAGCTTCTTCCCTGTGGCAGGGTGGTGGGACTAAGAGCTTCTGCCCAGCAGGGAGGGTGGTCTCGAGGCTTCAGCTCAATGGGAGGTGCCTGCTGGAGCTCAGGGCTTCAGCTGGAGTGGAGCTGAGGCCCCGAGCCCTGGTAGGTGTGCCCCGGCGGGCTGAAGTTCCAAGACCCTGCCGGCCCTGCTGGGCAGAAGCCCTTAGCCCCACCACCCCGCCACAGGGAAGAAGCTCCGAGTTCCCCCAAACAGTCTGGTAGGTGGAGACTACCACCCCACTGCAGGGCTGAAACCCCGAGCTGCAGCAGGCATGTTCCCTTCAGGAACTTCTGAAGATTGTTGTATGCGGCTCGGAGGGTCAGTAAGTTTGGCCATCCCTAGTCTAAAGTAATCATAGAGACGGAATTCCCTCTCCTGCCTTCAGCCTGGGAGTGAGGGAAAGCTTTAACTCTCACTGCTCACCTATTCTGTTGATAAATATAGGATTTTTGTCTCTAGCACCATGATTATGGCCCTTTATACCAGTATAAGTACAGATATATTGAGCCTTATTCCCCTGTCATTGACATTGGTTTGACACCAAAGTAAATCCACTGACCAGGTCATTAATGATCTGGAGGATGGTGTGGACTGCACCCTCAGCAAGCTTGCAGATGACGCTAAACTGGGAGGAGTGGTAGATATGCTGGAGGGTAGGGATAGGATACAGATGGACCTAGACAAATTAGAGGATTGGACCAAAAGAAATCTGATGAGGTTCAACAAGGACAAGTGCAGAGTCCTGCACTTAGGACGGAAGAATCCCATGCACTGCTACAGACTAGGGACCGAATGGCTAGGCAGCAGTTCTGCAGAAAAGGACCTAGGGATTACAGTGGATGAGAAGCTGGATATGAGTCAACAGTGTCTGCCCTTGTTGCCAAGAAGGTTAACGGCATTTGGGGCTGTATAAGTAGGGGCATTGCCAGCAGATCGAGGGACGTGATCATGTTTTTACTAACTGGCTTTTTCTTTTTCTTTTGTTTTTTTCAGTTGCACCTTCTGATCAGAAGGTTGCTTAATGGCCCTCATCAAGGCAGTGCAGTGTTAAAGCTGTTCCCGTCAAAAATAAACATGGTGTATAGCAGATTTTCATCAGCCTTATTCAGCCACTGGACTCAAGCATCAATAAAGTCCATTGTTGCACATCCAGTGCTACTAGGAAAGGACACTTTCTCTAGGGAGTGGACTGGACCCACTGCCCTGGTAAGGGGAAGCAACAGTGACTCAGCATTTGCCCCTTGTGATTGTTAGGGCCTTTGTGAACTCTAAAATGGTGGTTCCCAGCAGAGCCGGCGCTAGGCATAACCAGACTAAGCAATTACTTAGGGCCCTGAGCAGCTCAAGGGGGGCCCCCTATTAATTATTAGTATGTGTTGTGTGGGGAGCCCCAAAATATTCCTGCTTAGGACCCCCAGTGGGCTAGCATCAGCACTGGGAGGAAGCTGTGGCACTCCCTGCTGTTTTAGCCCTGGGATTCCCACACAGTTCTAGCAGCCTGCACTCACTTGCATCCCAAGAACAGCCAGTGCATCCAGAACCAAGTCAAGACCAGCATGATGAGGCATATGGGGAAGCTGAACAAGAACCAAGTTCCAAAATTCACCACCTCAGCATGTGGATAGTGGCTGTAAAGAAAAAGACCGTATAAGAGATAAGAAGGCCACAGGATGCATGGTCAGACTCCCACAACATGCATCTATGCATACATATATGGCCATGTGGCATGGCATAAGGGTTGTATTAGCATGAGTTTGTGATAACTGTATTACACATGCATAGCAAAGCCACTCCCAAATGATTGCCAAATTAGCCTTTATATCAACACCACACCAAATACCAGCATGTGTTCCGTTTACCCCAGACATTTTAGAAATGTTTTAATGGTACATATTTTTATTGCTACTACAGGAGGGATTAATTTGGCCCAGTGTAATATAGATTCAAAACATGTCACGAATATATGTAGTAACCTCAGTCGAGAAGCTCACAGATCAATACATCCTGATGCCCATCTCAACAGAAATTAACATCTGCATAAAATATCTCTTTGCTCCAAGGAGTTTGTGATGGAAACAAATTGATTCATATTTGGGGCAGTCTGGATGACATGTAAAAACAACCATATAAATGGAAATAACAGGTTAGTTTGAGGATGGAATTTAAATTTACCAGTGAATGGACGTTATAATGCAATACAACTGTTTTTGCATCGTGTCTTTCATCCTAGTTGTATCACAAACTGCTTCAATACAGTGAATTGTTCTTTAAAAAAATGATAGCATAGGTACTGATAATTTCAGAGGTACAGGCAAGCACAAGGGATGAAATCCTGGCCCTACTGAAACTCTATTGACTTCAATAGCACCAGGTCTTCACTCATGATCTCTGTGTACTTGTGGTCTTGGGCCACAAAATATAAAATAATTAATGCAGCAGACTGGACTCTGGCAAAGCTGTTTAGCAGTGCATCTCATGACAACCCAAAAGTGCTGGAAGTGTCATAATAGCAAGGCACACTAATATGTCTTCTTTGAGGGTGCTTGAAAACCCAAATCTTCCATCAAGAGTTCACCACCAGAATCAGTTTTACAAGAACCATGTATGTCATTTCAAAAGTTAGTCTGGGAAATTATCTCTGACCCTCAAAGTAGTTTTGCATTTTTTTCTAATAAAAGAAGCAAACAAACATTCCGTCTGTGTACATGCATGTGTCCACTATAATAGAGGGCCAGATCTTTTCAAAAGAGGTCAACTCCCATTTGGGCATGGGCACATAAGAAACAAAGATCCTGCTTTCAGTCAAATACCCTTAGTAATAAAGCCCTAGGAGACAAAGTATATACAAAGAGAAAGTATACAAGATAGAAGCAAAATGATCTATAAAGAGAATATCTTCCCTTTGATAGAGTCATCATGGTGACAGTAGTTACTCCAGCACAGGTCCCTCATGTAATGACAGAGACTGTGCAATATCACTTACTTGTTGAAGTACTCTAAGAAGATGAGGCTAGTGGAGGTCCCTATGATGGTGGTCAATCCCCCAATGGTTGCAGCATATGAGATGCTCAAGGACAGGCACTTGCAGATCATGTGATCATGTCTGGACTGGTACTGGTATTTAGTGCTCAGGTCCAGATCTCTGGGGTTAGGAGGCAGGACAAGTATCTGAGTCTGTAAGAAGAAAGACATGCCATAAGGAGTATTAGACACTACCAACAGCCTGGCCTGGGCCAGAGGGAAACTTTGAGTGCCAAGATGTCTACAGGTTACAAAGAAATAACCTGCCTGTGAAAGAGCAGGCAGCTTATTCTCCATGGGAATTAACTGGGATGAGAACTAGTGACCTGTCCAGTGACCCCAAACTGCTTGATTTGCAACCAAAATGCAGGATAAACAGTAATCAGACTTCTGATCAGAGTCTGGCCCTGTTCCAGTCCTCAATGGGATCTCAACTGGATACCAGGAAACCTTTATGAGCTGGGAGGAGGAGATTCTATTATTTCAGTTTTAAGAACATATAATCCTTGAGGCATGTTAGAAGCTTCCAGGCAATGTTTGGCAGACTTTCCACCCTCACACTGACTCATGAGTCATAACCTCTAATTAGCAATCTAATATTAGGAGGGGGAACGTGCAAGATAGTTAGCTGTGATACCTAATGCTTAGCTATTAGGATATGTCCCAGAGAGAAGTGGTAAATGAAAACATGGCTGCAAAAGACAGCGTGACAAAAAGAAGGTTCCATAGTGGTGGCTGTCAGTGCATGGTTCTGGGAAATTAAAGTGTTATATTGAAAATAATAAGGTGCCACTCCTAGAGACCTATCACTTGTAGCACAGGGAAGGGAGAAAGAAAAGGCTGTACTGTAGGCTCAGGAAAAAGGCCTCAGCAGCACAGAAGCTGGATTCATTTGCCATAATATAATTCTATTGCTTTGTAATGGGCTTATTTTCTATGAGGATTATGGTGCTGCTATGAGTTTATCAATCCTCCTGCAGTCTGTCTCATGAAAATCCTGGTTCAAATCTGTATTAGGTCAAAACTGAAATGAGTTTAGTGGTTATAAAATAACCATTGAATGTTGGTATGAGATGGGAGAATGCTCTATGGCATTGGTAGTGCAGTTGCTTTTCTGAGGATCTGGGTATAAACCCCCTTTGAGCCATATATGTAAATAAATGTGTTGATTGGAGTTTCACGTCTGCTGGGCATCTGTTTGTGCATAAAAACAGTGCATACATGTAACTGAAGTCCTGCCTCAGGCATGCCCAGGATTGGAAGAAGGAAATGCAGATCAGGATTGAGGTATATTGGCAGAAGTGTCTCTGTGAGTATGTGCTGCATGTGTGATGGGTTGTCAGAGGACAGGAAGTGCCGGAATATTGGAAGTGAGGGCTGATAGAGCTGTCCATAAGGTGCTTGAACAGTTTCTGTCTACCTTATGTTTGGTTTTAGCCTGTGCCAAAAATTGATATTTAGGTAGAGCTACCTCCAGAGGGACATTTGGGGAAACAAAGTGGAACAGCAAAACAGAAATGGAAACTGTTTAGCCATAGCATGGAATATATGATACTGAATGCATTTGGGAATAGCCTGTGAGGAGCACCTCATCAAAGAAACCCAAAAAGATGTAACAGGGCTGTGAAGGGGGGAACTAAAAAAGTGGAAACCATCTGAGGAACCAGCACAGGCCTAATCGTCAAATGTTCTGAGACTGCAGAGGCAAAGATTTCATGGAAAGCTACTTACAAGGTAAGAACCTGAACCCAGAAAGAATGTGTGATACTTGTCTCCCCCAGAAGATTACCACCTCTTACCTGAGGTAGATTCTGCCCCTTGTTTGGGGGAGTCACAGTTCCAATTGGGTTGGCTATCATGTGCACACCATTCATATTCTATAAGAAGGTAAATGTCCTTTGATTAGACAATACTCTCTACCTAATTCCAGAAGGCACTTAGAATTAAATTCAAGGGTGCTTTGTGAATATTTCAGGCAGATAATCTTCCAATAAATTGACTACAATTTGTCTGAAACCTTTGAAACTTATTGACCCTCCGAGCTCATAGAACAATCTTCAGAAGTTCAAGAGCTGGGGCATGCCTGCTGGGGCTCGATTCTTTAACCCTGTGGTGGGGTGGTGGTCTTTTTATCTTTAAAAAAATCTTAAAAATTAAATGGTCAGTTTAGCTCATCTCCTTCTGTCACCATGGCAGCTTTGTGATGGTAGAATCCAACATAAACCTTGCAAGAAGCACCCGAGTCTTGATTTTATAAGGTGTAGAACGGTTAGCCACTAGAGTGCTCTAGTTGACTGAACATCCCTGACTGCAGCAGTGCCCAAATCTTGCAGAACGAAAGGCCACATTTGCTACTTGCTAGGAGCCCATGGACTACATATACGCACTAATCAATTGAGCTAATCACAGCCTCTCATGTAAGATGGAGATACGGACCACAGAAACTACAGAACCAGTGTTCCATCTTAATCTCATGAGCTAGGCTGATAGAATCCAGCTAAAGCATGGCATGCTGTAATATATGGACTCTACCAGAACTACCTCCCATTAAAGATAGAGGAGGGTGCTTTTGATCATTCCTGCTGTACTGCTTTATAATGCAGAGCTGAGTGTTGGTCACATGGTGTAGGTACTACCTATCACAATACCTTAGTATGTACCAGGGAGCTGAAGTCAGTGGTCGTAGCACTAAAAACAAAGAAAAGAAAATATATTTTTAAATGCATGTTTCCCAGCTATCCCAAAAGGCACATGTTCAGGGTGGGTAGTGGAGCACCTGAACAAGAACTAAA